GCACCAAACCACCCTTGGTAAGAAAAAACCTCTTGCACATGAGCTGACTCTCGTAACTCATTGTGTGGCATGTATCACATTTCAATGCTACTACGATTTCGAATGGAAGTAGAAAGACTGGCGCACTCCATAAGGATCCATCAACGCCAGGAGTTCATCCTTGTTTATCATTTTATTTTCAGAGTATTCCGACAACTCAAGCATTCCACGATGAGCGGAGCGAGAACAGAGAAGAAACCATCAGCCGAAACTAAGGTTCGAGCATTGTGCATATACGCTACTGGTAGATAAGCTACCCTACCCACAAACAACGCTACCATATTCAGAAATTAGACCAGTTTGAATGGATGCCTACGAAAAGCTGTATCTCGGAAATTACCACTACTCAAATTCGTTCCTAGTCCCCTTGCCCCCTTAGACCAAAACCTTCGAGCTTAGATTAATCGCGTGACCTTAGGCCACTTTCATAGTCTGCAGTCCGTGCGGTCCGTGCGGACCGTACGCACTGTGCGGAGAAAGTGAAAAGCGTCAACAAGCGCTCTGGCGCACGATGCGCACTTGGCGCGCAGTTGGCGCCTTCCGATCGATAATCCTAATTTCAATACAATTTTTCTATTTTTTTGGCATTTTGTGTGCCGATTTGCTTTCACTTGTCTTGTTTAGCTCAAAACTTTTCTTTTTCGTATGAATTACTGCTTTTGCTTACTAATGAACTCACCTGGGGCTTACTCCCACTTTCAAACACACGGTATGAACCTAACCATTCTAGGACAGTTGAAAAGCAATGATTCACATAAAAAGCTTGAGCGTCTCATGACGATTAGCCGGAAATCATTGGTAGACCAGCCTCTCAGCACGCTGGTGGGCGTTGGTTAGGATGATTGCTTATGGAGCGTTCATAGTTGGCGATCGTGCGTGCGATTAGGCGATTAGGCGAGTAGGCGATGATTCAAAATGAAAAGTATACGGATCGATTAGGCGATTAGGCGATTAGGCGAGTAGGCGAGTAGGCGAGTAGGCGATTAGGCGAGTAGGCGATCAGGCGATGAGTAAAGGATACGTATCGATTAAGGCGAGTAGGCGAGTAGGCGATTAGGCGATTAGGCGAGTAGGCGATTAGGTGATATCTGGATTGTATGCAACACTTTGACAAGATCTGCTTTTACCAACTAGTAGTCTAGTGTATGGGTGAGAAGCTAATATGCATGTGCGCCTCAATTTTGACGACTAAAGAGTGCGCCGTGTGCAAATCGCCTAATCGCCTATCGCCTACTCGCCTACTCGCCTACTCGCCTACAACGCCCTCAGGGCGGAACATACAAGTCGATACGTATGTAGTCTTCACCGCCTAATCGCCTACTCGCCTGATCGCCTACTCGCCTACTCGCCTACTCGCCTACTCGCCTACTCGCCTAATCTATACGTATATTTTTCATTTAGACTAATCGCCTAATCGCCTAATCGCCAACTATGAACGCTCCATTAGAGCCCTTCCACCAATAACATTTAATGACATCATCAAATCGCTCCGCCCTTTAGACATCGTGTTCACTGCCTTAAAGTTCGCTAGCTCTGACCAAACTTGCCGGGTCAGTGTCCAGAAAACGGGATGTTTTGCTTGATTTTATGACTTACAAACGCTCGGAGAAGTTGACCTACAGGAAAGAAGAGACTGTTTTTTCTATGGTTACCTCACAAATGCCCGAATTTGGAAGCAATTTCCAGTAACAGCTGTGGCGGCAGACTCTAAAGGTGACTTTTTGCAGACGGGTAGAAAACGACAGTCTCCAAATATACCGCTATCTAAGAAGAGCTCGATAATCATGGCACCAGTGAGATCCGTCTAGAAAAGATCGAAAGAAATACTTACACTTACATAATAGAACCAAATGTTACTCGTTTATTTTTAAGTTATTTTAACATCACTTAATTGTTGAGTTAATTCGTAGTAAAGCTTGAAGTTCATGTTGTTTCTTCGGCAAATAAGGAAAGTTGCTCGAAGCAAACACCCTAGTTCTAGAGAGTCCTAGCCAATTTCATGTAAAAACACCTCCGCTGGTGCAGTGTACTTGAGTACATCTAGAGTCAACCGTAACATGCCCATAGGGGTAATTCGATATGCTGATCACGAAAACGACATTCGTTTTTAGCGGTGGCGGCATCTGGCGCCAGTTGGCGCCACCTTGTCACGACCCTTGTTTTCACCAAATTTGGTGTAAACTTTCGTATAGGGTTATTTGAGTCCTTTACCGCCCATTTTCTGCTCGTCTGCGCCCTCCCAGTGGATAGATCGAGAATATGCGTCGAACAACGATGCCGGAAGCGAATGTCATTTTCTTAATCAAGGCACCAAATAGCCCCTACACAGGAGTTTACACCGAATTTGGTGAAAACAAGGGTCGTGACAAAGTGACGCCAAATGGCGCCAGTGGTAGAATAGGAATGTCATTTTCGTAATCGGGGCATGGAATTACCATACGGCTACAGTACGGTAGGTCTGTAGTTTCGTATGACGCTCTAGCACGATCGGAGTTGTTTTTTCAGAACCAGATAGAAGCTTGTCTACCGCGAAATCGCAGTATTCCACAATTTTTCCTCATACATCCAAAAAAAAAAACGTAAAAACTTCTTCCAGCGACCTCTTTGCAAGAGGACAGGTGGGACAGGGTAGCACCATCTCACCCAAACTTTTCAGCGTCGCTCCCTAAAGGTATAGGCGTCAGGTGGAGTGGAAAAAGTCAACGGCCACTTCACCACCTTCGCTTTGCTGGCTTGATTTGACTGCGGCTATAGTAAGCTCGCTTAGAGCTGAGTTGACGATGACAATGCGGGGAACATTCGGTTTCGCCCACTCTTACGCTTCCGCAGTCCCATCCAGGGTCAACCGTCCGTTGGACAAAGTCCAACGCATGGCTCTCTAGCGTGTGAGAGTAATGCCGAGAGTGAACGTACGCACGGAGACACAGACGGCTCGCGCAAGGCGAGTGCGAATGCCGGCGCGGAGAGCGGTCAACGTCGGTCCAACGTCGGTCCAATGTCGGTCCAACGTAACGGTTGACCCTGGTCCTTTCTGCCTCAACCTACGCCTCGGAGACTTGGACACTGCGCAGACAGGAGAGGCATGCACTCAGTGAACATCCCAAGTTCTGAACACCGTCAACGTCGACATCAGGTATGCTACCGTCTCCGTCGAGGATCGAAGGTTAGATAAGCTAAGCCATCATCGGGGAAGTCACGTTGACCGCTTGGTCAGAGTGATTACCAACTGGGCCCCTCAAAACGTAACGAAAATCGTGCCTTAGTCTAGTTCCTCTTCAAAAGCTCCAACACCGGAATCAAGAGATAAGTGTTCTTTGCACGAGCATTGCCCAGGCGCTAGGCTGAAGTAGCCCGAATGTGTGCATTTAAGAGCGGGATCAAGAAATAAGATGGTGAGCGTCTGCAACACTCGGACCCATATTAAGCAGTGGTAATGCCCTTGTTCGAGATAGATTAAACACCGAATTCGCTTGAAAATATGAGACTCTCACTCGGAAAAGCATCTAACTGGCGCTATCACAAGATAAGGGGGCAATGCGGCGGGAACGCATTCGGACCCCGCGAATACTTCTCTTTCCGTCATGAACTGGACTAGTCCTTGAAGGAGGGTTTCATGATCAGGGGAAGGTCGAAGAAGACTTAACTCAGCTAGAGGTAAAAAGGCGGACCTCCAAGGGTGCGGACCGACCAATTCGCAGCGAAGGATATGCCCGGCGATCTAGCATGGCCTCCCCGCGCCGCTATCGACGCGGCACGCCCACCGACTGGCTAACCACTCGCCGCAGGTCTCTAGCCGTTTAGCAGAGAGAGAGCGTTAGCGTTGAAGAGGGCAGCACCGATGAGAGTCGCATCAATGCAAATCAACGGGCAAGGAAGGGGTCCATTTCTCGGGTTCTGGGCCGTTTCTCATGGTTTTTTCTTCACCCTGAACCACTGACCACTCTACTCAATTATGGGCTACCTTTTCCTAATTCGATTTAAAACCGGGAGCGCATGAGCAGTTCCCAGTCCCCGCAATTCCTGTCCCGCCTAGGTGGTAGTTCTGAGGGATGCCTCGTACTTTGCGATAGCGCCGGATCCTCCTTCAGCACGGTAATACGTCACGCACCCATTCGACCGCAGTTTAGGCATATATTTTTTGAAAATTAGTTCTACATATTCGAAAACTCAGCCCAATATATTTGTCGAGACAATTTTATCAAGTACTTCAAAGGTACCTCCTCAGAATGACAACACTGATGAAAAAAGAATTATTTACAGGCTCCGCCTTCCATTTTTTAAACGGATGGAAATGCAAACAATACCTTGTTTGAGTGTACTTGTGCGTGTTGCAAGACGTAAAAATGCACCGAATCGAGAACAACGTATGAAAGAGGGGAAAAGGGGGAAACACTAAGTGAAACTAGACAACCTAAAGAAACTGAATTGGAAAATTCCACACCGTATTAGATCACGACAAACACAACCTAAAAAATTCAGTAACTATGACGTCACGATTTTGAGTAATAGTGGCAAGAACTAGCATTCTATGTAGTAGCGACTACCTTGATGACTGAATGATAGCTCACAAGGCACCACGCGGTACCGCGCGCGGCAAGGCGATGATTCATTTTCGACGCGCGCGCGGTGCCCTGACCTATCCCACTGTGAACGCTCAAATAGTATAAACACCAAGGACAGTCATTAAGAACAAGTTGTGAACAATCGATATCGCTCAATAATTGATTAATCGACTGATCATCATGATTTGAAATAGAAGAATACAGTAAGAAAGACTAGCAAGTAAATGTACAAATAAATGAAATAAAAGGACACAATGTACAGAAACGTCATACGGAAATCAAGTGCTGGAAAATTGATGAACAACGATGATGAACGAGTAAAAATCAATACTTCACGAAATTCAGGTAATCCTTCACTTGGAGTAGCTTTCGACTTCGTGATTCCACTTCTGGAGTCGTTTATATACAGTGATTACCCCCAGACGGTGCATAACCGCTGTCCGGTTGGAATGGTCGCAGCAGGTCGTCGATGCTGGAAAAAAGCCCTCATACCTTTGAACTTAGCGAAGTTCATCAATACGCAGCCCTCTCATCTACATTTTCGCCTTCCGTTTTCCGATTTCCGAATGCAGAATTTGACCAGCAAATCGCCAAGCAGGAGCAAACGGCGTTTTTACCGACTTAGGCATCGGAAATCGGAAAAGGAAGAGCAGAACTCGAGAAAACCCTGGCACCCAAATCACCATAGAGCGAGACTTGTTAGCCAGTACTCTCCCATGTCTGGGAAGGATGGGGACAAACCTCTCCAATCAAGCAAATCAACCAAATATGCCTGGACGGGCTAAATCCCGGCAGTGCCCCACACCTCGACCTTATGGACGAAAAACTCGAGTGAAGTAGGCGCTAGGCGGCCAAAGGTGCCCTGCTGCCCTGCCAAGTTCCTCACCTGCAATCCGCCCATGCCACTCCGGCACCTGCCCGACAGTCCTTGATGTCCGTCACTGGTGTCCACGCATTCGTCACTGGGTCGTACGCCTCGACAGTGTTCAAATAGCGCTGACCATCGTGTCCACCAATCGCATAGACAAGTCCGCCCATCGAAGCGACACCGACGCCACCTGAAACCACATGGAACCGATGTGCAGGATAGAAACAGAAGACTCTCATCAAATGGCTTAAAAAAGCCTTAAATAGGCTTCGTAGCTAGAAAGAGCAGCTTCGTTTCTAGTCCACGTAGAAGCTCTACCCCCAGAAG